TCGCCGGCTAGCCTCAAGAACAAAATTGAACTTGTCATCGGTGCAGGATGAATATTCTGATACATTAATATATTAGCATGTGGATGCTACAAGAGGTACTAGATATAGTTTTTCTAGTAAGGCTAAGCACAGATACCATGTGAAATATTATACGCACTCTTCCATAATTGTCATCATTCTTTATGCCAAAAGCCACTTTTTTGCCTCAAAGACTATCGTTATTGTTAAAAATGGAGTGATTTTATTGTATTGTTCATAGAAAAGGTACATGGCTATATATACAAACAATAACTTATCTTAGGAAACCCCTATCCTAGGAAAGTAGCCTATTCTAGGTAAGAATTAAATCCCTTAAACTTAGGGATTGTAAGACTATTTATAAGATCCTCTTTTCCCTTTTCTAATTGCGATAGGAAATTTGAAATCCCTTTGATCAGTAGGTTCATCAGAGTTTTCAGTAACAATATTTTGATTAAATATGGGTTCAGTAGTTATCTCATTTTTGTATAGGAGAGGAGGATGATTGAACCTGCATTGGTGTTTTTCTCCTTAAGTAGACCAGCAAAGGAAGTGTAGTACCCTGAGCCCTTTGCTGAGGTGAAGTAGGATTAATTTCAGTAGATTTTATGGGAGTTTCTGTGGGAGTGTGTTGGGACTAATCAGAATCTGGTTACTAATCGATGTGGCTGAAAGGTCAAGAAGTGGCTGGATAAGGAATAGATCTTTATCCTTATCTTCTTTGAATGAAATCTCCCCCTGAAAATAGGGACAAGTGAAGTAGTTCTCCTGTTCTACAAAGGTAACATCTGCTGAGAAAAAATATTTTCTTGTAGTAGGAAGATAGCATTTGTATCTCTTTTGGGTGGAGGAATAGCCCAAAAAAACACATTTTAATGCTCTTGGATCAAGTTTTCCCCTGTTGTGAGAGTGTATATGGACAAAGGCAACACAGCCGAATATCTTGGGCTTAAGGTTAATGGAGGCATTGAAGTTTGGAAAGAACTTGATGAGGGTTTGAATGAGACTTTGGAAATCAAGGACTTTTGTGTGTAATCTGTTTATCATATAGGTAGCAGTTAAAACAACCTCTCCCCAATAGTTTTTAGGAACACTTTTTTGGAACAAAAGTTCTCTAGTGACAAGAAGAATATGGCCAAATTTTCTCTTAGCCACTGTTATGTTGGGGTGTATTAACACATGAGGACATGTGTATATCACCCTTTTCTTGAAAATAAGGCGACATAATATGGTTGAAGTAATATCTGGCATTATCGGATCGGAATCTTTTTATTTCAGCCCAAATTGGGTTTTGATCATGGTATAAAAGGTCTTAAAGACAGAGCTTACATCTGACTTTTGTTTTAGGAGAAATATCCAAGACACTCTTGTACAATCGTCAATGAAGGATACAAACCAACGAGCCCCGGATATGTTTGAAACTGTAGATGGCCCCCAAATATCACTATGAATGAGATCAAAAAGGTTGGGATTTCTTTTATTGTTTACTGGAAAGGAAGTACGCTTATGTTTTGCTATTTCACAGATGTCACAATGAAAATTTTCAACACTTAGTTTTTTGAACAGAGAAAGAAACATGAGCTTTATAACTTTAAAGGAAGAATGACCAAGGCGAAGATGATGAAGCCATATTTGGTCTTTATTGGTTTGGGGTTTTGACATTAGGGATCATATGATCTGTAGCCCCTGAGTCAATTACCCAGGAACTTTGGGTAGGTGTATCCGAGGATTTAGAGTTTTGAGAAGAGGATATACATGAGAAAACCAGACTACATGTACCTTAGGAAGAGGATTTTTCCAGAGACCCTAGCATATTCTTAAGCTTCTCAATCTCTTCTTATTGAATTCAACATGTTGTTCTTGAGAATCTCCAGCAAGTTGCTTTGTTGCATATGCACGTCCTTGACCCTTTGATGGTCCTCCTTTTTATGAAAAATTTCTATTTGTTTTTTGAGGTTTTCCATGAAGTTTCCAACATTTCTCTCATGTGACGAGGCTTCTTATAGTAGGTGCACCATAGGGAGTCCTTACCTACTGTCTGCCTATTATCTTCATGTATCATCTATTCTATACCAGATTTCCTCTCTGTTACAGTCCTTGTGGCCAGGGTTAAACTCTCCACTTGACTGTTTTCGATTATCACTCTTCTTCTTCCTTCCTCAACATGTATGATTGCGATTACCTCATTTAGTGAGGGCAGATCCTCCCTTTCAAGGATTTGGACTCCTACTGCATCAAACTCAATGTTTGGTCCAACAAGAAAATCATAGATTCGATCTTTTTCTATGAACCTTTTTAGAATGGATGCATCTTCGCTGCATCTCATTTGAATTCATTGATAGTGATCCATTTCTTGCCACATGTTCTATAATAAGTTAGAATACTTTGTGAGTGATTTGTATCCTTGCTTAGTAGACGTGATCTTGGTCTTGATTTCATAGATCTGGGCTGCATCTCGAACCTTTGAATAGGTCTGCTTCACTGCCTCCCATATTTCTTGGGTTGTGTTCAGGAACATGCACATATCGTTGATTTATGGAATCAAGGAATTCCACAACCAGGAAATTACCAATGAATCTTATTCATCCCATGCGTCGAACCTAGGGTCTCCTACTTTATGTCCAGACCCAAGTATATGACTTAACTTTCCTCTTCCCTTTAGGAACGTTCGAACCAGTTGAGACCACTTAAGATAATTTTTTCCATTCAACCTGTAAGTTGATTGTATGTTATGCAAATCCCCCGTTGAACTAGAGTAATTCCCTTCATTCATTATGACTTCTTAAGCAATTTCAGAACTGCTAGTGTCGACTACTTCAACCATGTTAGCACTATGTACTTAAAGGATGGTTTTGAGACAAGCAAGAGAGATGTTAGAAGGAAAAGAACGACTGGAAGTGAGCTACACCAGCTTTGATACCATGTTAAAAATGGAGTGATTTTATTGTATTGTTCATAGAAAAGGTACACGGCTATATATACAAAAGGTAGCTTATCTTAGGAAACTCCGATCCTATGAAAGTAGCCTATTCTAGGTAAGAATTAAATCCCTTAAACTTAAAGATTGTAAGACTATTTATAATATCCTAATTAATCACATAATATTCTTAAATTAGGAATTGACTTTCTGACAGTTATTAAACACCCTTCCCAACCAGACAGAAGAAGACTATCGTTATTAAACACCAACACTCTTTGATTGTGAATGTCTACATTCAGCAATATGATTAATAATGCTCTGGATCTTGGGCATAGTCATTTAAAATCTTGATACCATTTCATGTAGAACTTTCATATTATGACCTGTTGTCCCAAACTTCCAGTCCATTTCAAGACAAAAAAGATAGAGTAATAAATATCAAAACAAGCGTTGGGTAGCAAACATACCACAGTCATGTTGTTTGAGCTCAGCAAATAAACAATTTGCAATATACAGTAGATAATGTGCATCAATACGGGCATATTGCACCATTTCGTCTGAAAGCGGACGTTGTCTCCAGTCCTCGCGCTGTAATGCAATGCAACATCATAAATAGGTTATGATCAACGTTCTAGATAGAAAAGTTCAGTGAGATGAACAATAAGCGCGTGCAAAGAATTTAAGCAAGTGTCAATACCTGTAATAGTTTATTTTTGGCCACACCACAATAAGTTTCAAGCAAGTAGGCCAATGATTTCTGGGGCTTTGATAAAACTTCACATGCCTGTGTCAGCGTAAAAGAAATGCGGTTCAAGTAGAAAATCGATTAAGGTTAGTCATTTGTTATAAAGCAACATATCAGAAATATGCATGCATGTAGTCCTGAGTAATTATTAGCATTTAACCTAGGAGAAATTCTTCCATATTCGTGAGAAACAAATTATTGAAGCTCACCTTAGCAGTATCAAATAGATTGACAACATATATGTGGAAGTCTCTTTGTAACCACACAGTATCACCATCAGCCCCATGGAACACCTACATTACAATCCCAAGCAATCCAACACATGATCAGGATTGCACTTTAAGTTGAATCAAATGACATTGATCAGTAAATTCACAAGACTGCGAAAACATAAAAAAATTACTTTCCATGCAAAAGTAGGGGGGGAAGTGGCATGATCAATGAATTAACCAAAAAAAAGTTGGGCCAATGCTCTCATCTTCTACAACAAACTAGAGAACCAAAAAAAAAATTGACGTTGGGTTCCAAGAGGAATATGAAATTGTTTTTAACATATTGTTCCATACATGATCGTTCCATGAGAAGAGATCATATTTTAAGTATCAGTTCTTCACAATCACCATATGCTCAGCATCCAAATACATTATTCTGGCTTCAACTTTGTATAAAGTCCTAAACTTCAAAGTAAAGTTTATACCTTGCAAATATTAGGATCAGCGAAAACATGACGAAGAATGCCCATTGAATCATGTAAGGCAATTGTATCCACCAAATAGTCTTCCTCCTCTGTAGAAATCTGTTTTTTGTGCCATAAAATATCAAAAGTTAAATAAAAATCAACGTTTTTTTTAATTAAAAAACGGTAATTGTGATTGACCTGTATTAGAGCAGTGAAGCCTAGACACGACCGTAGACTATGCTGCTCAGTATCAACAGCGAATGCCGACTGTTCACTCAACACTTGAGCTAGCTGACTCAGTTGCGATTCGGACTCAACCCAAACATAAGAATCACCCATTTTCACATCAAAGTCATCCATAGGAATCTTAGAAAACTGAAGCAGCGGACTCTCCATCAATGCCGTAATCTCCGCTTCATACGGGTGAGTCAAACTAGTTGATTTGTCTACAACAAAACCAAACCATTAAAAAACAAATCTTTAAAGAAGACGCGGAAGTGGAAGGTTATTTACCATTAACAGAATCCGCTTGGCGGTTGAAATGACTGAAAGGAGAGTAGGAGTTATCGGCTAAGACTCGCTTGAAACTCAGCTGTGGCTTTGGCTCGGAGTGTAAATAACAGGGAATTTGAGATCGTCTCTGACTGAAGCGACGACGGCGGCGTCTGACTAGCCGAGCTGTTAAGAAGATTGAGATCGCGGCAACCGACGCGATTGTTAGTAATATTTTAAGCTTCTCCTCCTTGTCCGCCATTTTTGCAGCTCTATTTTCTCTTTTCTATGGTTATTTTCAGAAGAAAATGAAAAGAAAAAAACCTTTTTTTTAAGAAATCTTGTATTTTTTGTTTGCCGCCGGTTTCAGTGTCCAGGGACAGATTGGGACAGGGAAAACGCGGCCTGGAAGAGGTTTAATTCAGCCGGGAGTCGGAGGCAAATGTTAGAACGTTGAATTGTCTGTGTCCCTTTGAATAAGGAAGTCCGGCCAATTTACAGCCCAAAAGACCCCTTTGCTCTCCCTATCCTCTCCCCGCTCCCGGCGTCGATAAAATCCAATAAGCAAAACAGATTCGGACAAAAAAAATCAGAAAAGCCATGACCATCAACTTTAATCTCCTCAAAATCCAACACCAACTGTTGCATTTCCGAATTTCCCAGACTACACTTCCCCGCCCCCTTCCCTCCTTTCACCTCTTTACCAGACTACCCTTCCAGTCATATCCACTTTCCTTCCCCAGAACCGCCCAATGCTTCAAAATTTCAAGCATTTCCAAAGTCGAACCGTCGGTTTATTTCAGCGAAGATGAAGAGAGGGAAGGACCCGACGATGGGTCGATTACGGAATTTGAAGACTTGGCACCCAACGGTGTCGTTTATAGGAAGACCCTGAGATTGGTGGAGTGTTCCATGTTTGCTGCTGTTACTGGACTTGTATACTTCCTGAGCAATTCCCTCGCGATTGAGGTTATTGAATTTGAGATTTCCGTGAACATGTTTCGATTTCAAGTTTGAATTTAAAGCATGCAATATAAGAAAGATTGTATTCCATCGTATAGTTTAAGATCAAATGATATTCACTACGATTTAGAATTGATTTTAGTTTTTTAACTTTCAGCTTTGAATTTATGATAGTTATCTTTGTTTTGAATGATGCTATGCATATTCTATATAATGCATCGTTATTGATAGCTCTTGGAGATTGTAAAATCCTCATTTCAGCGATACGAAGTCTTGTGTATTTGATTTTTGGAAACAACACTTGGTATATTACATGCCGTCTTCATGAACTATTGTCATTCATTCTTCTAACTGTGATCGATTTTTGCCAACAGAACTACTTTGGGTGCTTCTTTTCGTTGCCGATCGTGATCTCCTCCATGCGATGGGGTGTTGCATGTGGGAGAAAGCAGTTGGCTTGTAACTCATCAGAAGATCTAATGAGTGTCAATACTATTCCAAAATTATCAGTTTCTAACTATTGAGACGGTCTTTCATCGTGGCAGGTCGCAACGGTTATGTTATTGTTTGTCTTGTCTGGTCCTGTAAAAGCCATAAACTATCTGGTGAGCTGAATCAGTTACAATTTGAACTTGTTTTGCTTGATTTGAGTTATGATTAAGCCACTAAAATATTGCCAAATTCGATATTACTTGCTGCTCTATCTACTTCTTTTTCAGCTGTATAGTAAATAATATGCGTTTGCTTCTTCCAAGTGGAAAAGCCTGATATGCCTTTGCCATATTTCAATCATGTTGCGTGTAAATTTCATATGCAGGTTATAACTAAATTAAATTCCTGCTTTTAGAGAACATTCCCTTTTTTTTGGGCCAAAGTTGCAACGAAATGGTGGTAGTGGAAATTAACATTTGTGCCTGTAAGTGATATGGTGATAACTGACCAACTTTTTCCATATTTTCCCCGTGTAGCTTACGCATGGAATAACCGTTTCACAATGGGTGCTTTATGGAGGTAACTAGTTGTTTTTGCCCTTATAGTTGTTTGTTATTAGGACTCGGGTCAGTTTTGGATTCAGGTATGTGTATGACGTGGGTATGCTCGGTTTTTTCTAAGGTTTTTCGGTATATTTTGAGAATCATACCCTCCCACATCCATGTTTAACTATGTTCTGGATACTAGTTTTGGACACTGGTACTTACCGTACTTTACGAATAATAGTTGGACACTGGTACTTTTTCCATGAGAAATGTAGTGCCTGCCCTTATATATGTTAAGGTTTTTTATATGGAGAATTGTCCGAATGACATATGATATTGTTTTGCTATTTGTATGATGAATGCACCGTGTTCTATGGAGTTAAAATATACACATCAGATGTCAAAAATAAGATATACACATCAATGATTACTTCACGTGCGATTTTGCTTCATGTTTTCTCAGGTCGGGAGCTGATTGGGAAGTCTCGATTTCCTTGTGCACACTCGTAGTTTTTTCTCCTTTTCACACATTCTTTCTCAATAGATTCTATGTAGTTCTTAATAACACAAACTGCCGTGGTTGATGTTTTTAAAATCGCAGGCTCAAGCGATGGTTTGGTGGGCTATGTCTTGACAACATCTTTCTTGATTAGAGAAAACATACTGGGTTTGGTAATTCCGTGTTCGATACTCCTTTGGTATTTCTAGTCTTTGTACTCGAGTGTTGGAAATAAACTTGAATGGTTATTCAAAATGCTTGCAGATCACCATAAACATTCATGCATCTCTCTCGTACATCTTTGCCGCGATCGGCATCAATCTGATTCCATCAATGAACTTCATATACTCCTTGTTTGGGACTTTGATACATTCGACCCGCCTTTATGCTATCTTATTTCGGTTTTCGGGTGCTTGAATCGAACATTGAGCCGTGATTATCATGCTAATCCAACAGGTTTTGCTTAATAGTGCGTCCTTTGTGTTCTTGCTGCACCTTTTGTATTCAGTGTTCCTTACCAGAATGAGAATGAAGACTTCATTGAGATTGCCAAGATGGTTCGAGAAAGTTATATAACGTTACTTGGGTGTATCCGTGTACGACACCGTATTGTATCCATTTTGTATTCGAACATGTTGTGGAAGACGGCTATCGGATAGAGCAAAATCGCAACTGATAATTTGAGAAAATAAAAATGAAGATAAAGAAGACCAAAATTTACATTGAAAACCCCTAAATAATATAGGGTAAAAATCACGGGCAACTGTAGAAGAATTTCACTATGAGAAAATAGGAATTACAACCTCTCGATCTATCAAGGAGAAAACAATGATAATTCTCTCTTGATAAAAAGGAGAAAATAACTCTTAAGAAACTCTCTAAATTCTCTCTAGTATTGGAAGAAAGCTAGAATGCTTTGGGATGGTTTTGAAGCTAAATGAGTTAGGGTATTTATAATTGAATCTTAAGGATTAATTTATAAATACCTTAAATTATAATGACTAAAAGTGTAATTTTATCATCACTAAAATTCAACAAAAGACAACTCCTAATTGACAATTTATGTAGCCCCTTTTTTACTACAAAAATTCGATGGATTTTTAATTCCACCTTTCGATGGATTGGTTTGGTTTTCAACAATCTCTCACTTGAAGATTTGATTGGAACAATCATATCTTTACACCATTCTTTCTACCTTGTACCTTCATGTTGCTTACGTTTCTATCAGGCCACAAGAAGATCGACACCAAGAAAATTTATCAGCATTGATCGCATTTGTCATGAAATCTGTTATGTTGTCTTTGATATAGATCTTCTGCATATCTACTGTCCCTTCTTCCACCTTTTCACGAATGAAATGATATTGAACTCGTATGTGCTTTGTCCTTGAATGAAATGCTGGATTCTTTGCTAGATGCAAGGCGCTTTGACTGTCACAAAATAGAGAGACATACTCTTGATTGTGCCCAAGCTCCTCCAATAGCATCTTCAACCAAATTGCTTCTTTACTGACTTGTGTAGCTGCTACATATTCTGCTTCTGTTGTGGATGTAGCCACAACTGACTGCAATTTTGAAACCCAACTTACAGCTCCACCATCAACTTTGAACACATATTCTGTAGTAGATTTGCTTTTATCCAAATCCACTGCATAGTCAGAATTTACATACCCATTGATTAGTAAGTTTGATCCTCTGTAACATAATGCAACATTTGAGGTCCCTTTGATGTATCTCAGGATCCTCTTTACTGTATTCCAATGCTCTTTGCCTAGATTTGCCATGTACCGACTAACCACTCCCACTGCTTGTGCAATGTCAGTCTTGTGCATATCATAGCGAACATTAAACTTTCCACTGTCGATGCATAACGGTACTCGAGACATCTCCATCCTCTCTTTTTTACTGCTAGAACTCATACTGGAGGATAATTTGAAGTTAATAGAAGAGGGATAGAAATTGGCTTACAATCTTGCATGCTGAATCGTGACAAGATCTTCTTTAAGTAATTCTTTTGTGAAAGCCAAATCTTCATATTACTTCTGTCTCGGTGAATTTGCATCCCTAGAATCTTCTTTGTTGATCCCAAGTCTTTCATTTCAAATTCCCTAGCCAGTTTGCCTTCAATTCGTCAATATGATCTTTGTTGGGTCTTGCAACCAACATGTCATCCACATACAACAGCAATATAACAAAATCGTTATCACCAGACCTCTTGAAATAAGCATAAGGGTCTGCATTAAGTCTGTTATATCCAAGGCACATAATGAAGGAATCAAATCTCTTATACCAACACCATCGGCGCCTGCTTTAGACCGTACAGAGATTTGTTCAACCTGCAAACCAAGTTCTTCTTTTCTTTTTCTTCAAAACCTTCAGGCTGGAGCATGTAAATTTCTTCTTCAAGATTTCCATGAAGAAAAACTGTTTTAACATCTAGCTGCTCTAGATGTAAATTCAATGTAGCACATATTGCCAAGACTACTTGAACTGTTGTTAGTCGAACCACAAGAGAAAATATTTCATTGAAATCAATATCTTTTTTTGAGCATATCCTTTGACCACCAGTCTTGCACGATACCTCTCTACTTGATCGTCACCATTTCGCTTGATTTTGAAGACCCATTTGTTACCGATTGGTTTCCTTCCTTGTGGTAGTGGCACAAGGTCCTATGTATTATTTTTATGAAGGGCTTCAATTTCTTCTTGCATCGATATCATCCATAGTGAAGCATCTGAGCAGTTTATTGCCTCCTAGTATGTTGATGGCTCACCGTTCTCTGTTAAAAGGCAGTATGCAATATTACCTTCTATAACATAATCTGAGTGCCAATTGGGACGTCTTCTCACACGATCTGATTGACGAGTTGTTGGAGCTTCAGAACTCTCTGGTTCTTGTTCATCATGTGCTGGTTCTGTTTCAGAAGAATCTCCTTGTTCAATCTCCTTTTCCACATGTATTGTGTAGTCTCTGACTTTTCAGCGCTATCATCGCTTTCTTTTCTTTGTAGTTTATCCTCTACAAAGATAACATCCCTGCTGTGATCACTTTGCGGGCAGTGGGATCCCACAAGCGATACCCCTTTACACCATCAGCATACCCCAAGAATTTGCATTTCCTGGATTTTGGATCTAGCTTTGAAATTTCTTGGGAGTTGTACATCACGTATACAATACTTACAAATACATGGAGGTTTGAATAATCAGCTGGTTTACCAGTCCACATCTCTATTGGTGTCTTCAGCTCTATTGCAGTTGATGGAGCTCGATTCACCAAATAACAGGCGGTATTGACTGCTTCTGCCCAAAATGATTTTTCTAGGCCTGCATCCCTCAACATTGCTCTTGTTTTTTCTAACAAGGTTCTGTTCATCCGCTCTGCCACTCCATTTTGTTGAGGAGTGTTTGTCACTGTGAACTGTCTTTTGATGCATTCTTTCCTGCAAAAGTCATCAAATTCTTTGCTTGTGTATTCTCCTCCATTATCTGTTCTGAAACACTTGATCTTATTTCCAGAATCAAGTTTCACCTGCGCTTTGAAGTTTTTGAAAGTTGAAAACACGTCCGACTTCTTTTTAATAGGATACACCCAACATCTCCTGGAGTAGTCATCAATAAATGAGACATAATATTTTGCTCTGCCTAGAGATGTAACTGGTGCTTGCCATACGTTAGAGTGAACCAATTCTAGAACACTTTTGCCTCTAGAATTTGATGTGTTGAATTTCAACCGGTGCTACTTACTTTTTATGCAATACTCACACAAAGGAAGTGATACATTTGTTAAGCCTGGATGTAGCTTTTTCTCCACAAGGACTTTCATTCCTTGTTCTGACATATGTCCAAGTTTCTGATGCCATAACATTGCAGAATCTGAACTACATGAGGCAACAGAGGCTTCTGCTTATAGCAAAGTTTCTCCCTTCAGCATGTACAAGTTTGCAGCTATTTTTTTGCCTTTCAACACCACAAGCGCTCCACGGAATACCTTCATGATTCCTTTCCGTGTTTCAATCTTGCTTGCATTATTATCCAACAATCCGTAGGATAATAAATTTTTTCAGCCTTTCACGTGCCGCACATCTCGAACAACTTTAATTTTTCCATCATACATCTTTAATTTGATGGTTCCACACCAACGATCTCTAAGGCACGATCATTGCAACTATACACAGATCCTCCTGAGACAGGTTCATAATGATGGAACTATTCTCTTCTTGAGGTCATGTGATATGTCGCTCCCGAATCAATGAGCCATATAACTGCAAATCTTTTTGTTGCCTTCAACGGTGGTTGACGCTTCACAGCATAGAGCATCTCCATCATCTGAAGTGTTTGTGGTATTGCCTTGTGGATTTTAGTTTTTATTTAGACTCCGACAATCCTTCTTCAAGTGACCCTTCTTTTCACAGCTGTAGCACTTTAAATTCTTCTTGCTCCTCGACTTCGATCTACCATGTTTGTGACTGTGCTTTGGCCACGTTCTGTTGATCTCCCTCTCGTCGTTGTCAACACTTTTGCTTGTTGCAGATTTACTTGTCTGCCTTCCTTGTTCTTGCGCCGATTTTCTTCTTGTAGAACAGCAGCTGCAACACCATCGAAGACTAGACTGGTGACATTACTGTTTGTCAAGTTGATGATGAGTTGATCATACGAATCCGGTAGACTTTGAAGTAGAAGTTCAGCACGTTCTTGTTCTCCTATTTTACAGCTTAAGGATGTAAGCTGAGAAAATAAAGTGTTCAACGTATTTAAGTGCTCTGTCACTGAAGTAGATTCTGGCATACGAAGAGTGTACAATTTCCTCTTAAGGAAAATTTTATTGTGCAACGATGTGGCCTTTGTACAATTTGGTGAGATGATCCCATATCTCCTTAGCTGTTTTCTTCTCCTCGATGCTTGACAATACTTCATCTACTAATGCTAGATGAAAGTTTTCCATAGCATTCCTGTCCATTTCGATCCATTTGTTGTCATCTGTGAAATCTACCGGTCTTTCACTGATAGCTGCTAGACACCCGTCTTTCCTCAAGATGGCCTTCATCTTCAATTTCCACAATGAGAAATTTCTCCTATTGAATTTTTCAATATCAAATTTCGTTGACATAGCTTCTTTTACGGATATCTCTCACTATTTCACTATCGTGAATAGTTCTCTGGAACCTTCAAAGAATGGTAATACCTTCTTACTTTCTTATGTTGGAGGATTCACCTTTTGGTGGCAACCACAAAGACAATAAGTAGATATTACACACTCTAATCTTGCTCTGATACCAATTATTGCGGAAGACGTCTATCAGATAGAGCAAAATCGCAACTGATAATTTGAGAAAATAAAAATGAAGATAAAAAAGACACAAAATTTACGTGGAAAACCCCTAAATAATAT